AGCTCTAAAATGTATAAGTGACTATGTGTTCAGTACATGTGGTAGAGTTGTGTTGTAGATATACTCCTAGAAAACGTAAATAGTTAGATCCACAATGAAGTCAAAATTTATAAATTTGGACGAAATTGGGAAAAAAGCTAAATAAATTTTGAAAGTTCCAAAATGATATTCTTTGTTAGAACAATTGGTGACCACCGTGAAGATTGTTTGCGATACTCAATCTGCGATCGAAATGGAATAAAATAGTTTAGTTGCCTGGGAAGCATTCTCCGGGGAGTTCACCTGGGAAGAAGGTGGATTTTTCGACCCAATCTCTTTAAACGAGCATTATTGAGTGCGACCAGTCAGCGAAGTGTAACGCCCCGTTCGATTTATAGAATTTCTCGGAATATTCTATTTATCGAATATTATTTATACGGTTATATTTATTTTATTGGTCACGATGTCGACTTAAATAAAATGTTGGAATACTCGATTGTTTTTATTGAAAAACATTCGTCGTTCGGCGATTTTGGTTTAATCGCGTGAACCGATTGTAAACCCGTTTGAATTATGGAATTTTAAAAATTATTTATTATTATTATTAATTATATTTATTTGTTGCTATTATTATTATTAAATGCTATAAATTATTAATTGTCTAATATGATTTATTTGTCAATTTTTTTTTAATTGTCTAAGTATTAAATTAATTGCCTAATTGTCTAAATGTTATTAATTAATTAAAATGTGTATTTGTATTTTACTAATATTATTATTATTTTCTTAAAATTTAAATTGTGTATTATCATTTATATTATATATTTGGTTTGTTTATTTAATTGTGCGAATTTATTTATCGAGGCCGAGAAATCTGTATTACTTCTACGTAGTCGGGCCCGAGAGCCGATACGTTTCATTGAACCGAACCCGCGAGCTCGATAATCCGGCTCTTATTGAGAATAATACTAGCGAAATTGATTTCAATTTTTGTATCCAGCCCATTTTCCTTTAAGTTGAGTGGCCCATTTTATTTTGGGTAAATCTTCTTGGCCCAAATTGAAGTTAATGACTTGGCCCATTTTTCACTTTGAACGGGTCTTCTTCTTCTTCCCGAACGAATTTTCCCCATTTCTCTCGGTCATCCATCCGCCACCATCGGAGACCACGTCGCCATAGCCAACGGCCTCCATGAGTTCCGGCACTCCCATCAGCCCTATTTCATCCCTTAAATAAGATCAACACCTTCAACTCTAAGTGGAGTGGCCCTATTTTTCCCCAATTAATGAAATCGCCTAAATAATCCAGCCCTTCGATCTCTTGAACTCACTTTGCCGGTGCACCCAATCGCCGTCCGTGTGTGTGTGTGTGTGCGGGAGGAGAAAACCGAACAGCAGTGCCTACCATCCTCTCAGTCCGTCACCGGCGAGCATCACCTTCGTCAGCAACCCCCGGCCAAGAACAGGCAGCCGCGACGGGAGCGAATTTCTGAGAATCCGACTTCAGGCGATTGAGGGTGAATTGACCCGACGACAGCTAAACTCGATAGGTCCGATTGTGGACAGGAGAACCACATCGTCCAGCCCTTCACGGCGATTCGAGCATCCCGTGACTGAAACCAGGCACGACACGAGAATCCCAACGTCCATCCGATTTCCAGCGACGGGACCAACGTCCGACGAGCCCAGCCTCTGCCATGGACGAGGACTCGCGGGAACTACTTCCGAGCATCCCATCAAAACGCCGTCATCTTCTCCAAATCTGTCCTGCAACGGCTAAGTCCTTCGACTTCCAGGGAGTGTATTATTTATGCACTTCTGATATACATTGGATTTCGGATGATTGATAGGGAGTATACTCCCTAGTATTTATGGATTTGATGAATCCAATTTTGGGAGTTGATGTCAATTATTGAATCCAATTTGGGTGTTCACTAATTATGATTAGTGGGTGTTGACTATTTATGATTATTGAACTCGTTGGGAGTTGCATATATGACATGGTTGAAATGGTTTTTGAAAATAGGTAGCGCCTCAAGTATTTTGAAATAAATTAAAAAAAGAAAAATTATTCAAAATTTCGGCAAATAAAAGTGGGGCGTTACACGAAGTCTTTTATTTGAGAAAAGAATGAGAGCAAGTTGATGAAGTCACTGCTTTAAGATCAAGGTCTAAGAAATGTGGACTGGTGGAGGGTTTTTTCCTTGAGCAGCAGGTGCAGCCAGTGTATTTCCGATGGCTACCCGCATTATATTCGTTGTAAACTTGATTGTTGGGTTGGGTGAAGAACGTCAAATCAATGATATGTTTCAATTTGCAAAATTAATTCCTACGCGCGATGGATCTTGGAGTAGAGTTAATCATATCATAAATTACTGTCGACTCTGTACAGACTTACACGATCTGCGGGGATCGGATGAACGGTTCTGTCTCATGACTTCAAAGTATTCTGTAGTATTCCCAACACTTTTCTCCAAAGTTTTGAGGACGACTGTCTTACGAACACCTTGCTTCTCATAGATCACTTGATCAGTTTTTGGAAAAGAAGGAAGAAGACCTTGTGTTAGAAAAAAAAAAAAAAAAAAAAAAAAAAAAAAAAAAAAAAAAAACTCTTTTTATCTCTCTTTTAAAACTTATTGCTTTTCTCTCTCCTAAGAACTCACGCACGGACGAAATTTATTCAAGAGAAAATACTTGAAAAATATGAAAGTGCTTGATGTACTTATAGGCGACAACAAGGACCATGAGAAGGTAAGGAATACTCGGGTTATGGTCCACCATATTCCTTAGCCAATTAATAATCAATCGGTCTACTATATATTATTACTACACTATCTTTTCCTCACCGAAATTACAATTTGGCTCCACTATACTTGATTTTACCTCCCTGTGTTAAAGATATCGAACGTCCGTCCGTTAAATAATTTAATTACTTAACATTTTATTTTTATAAAACCCAGTACCACGTAATCTTATTATTTTGTAGAAAATTTAATCCACATGTAGGGTTTAATAATAATAATAATCTTTTTGAGCTCATTTTGGGGACGTCATCACTCTAGCACACCAGAACACATTGATTGAATATAATCAACAACACATTATGTAAATAATAAATTTTTTCAACTCACCGAGTTATTGACCTAGAGATATAAGTCTTGCCCTTTGATGAATCAAAGAAATAAATATTAAATACACGTGCTCGTCATTATCATGTCGGTTTAGAGAACAATTGATATCACGAGGTCTAGTTTATTTATTAGATCAATATAAAATAAACTCCTCCTCCGTGATTTAGTTCAATACACACAAAGTATGCTAATATAATTCATTAGTTAAGATAAACTAACTCAAATTATACTATAATCATACTGATAGGTTTGTCCATTACTATCTCAGTTAGGAACCTTATTTATATTATACAAGGAACCGATAATATAATCTTCTGTGCAAGGACATCCCACTATGTTACCTTCAATGTCAATAACAGGACAAATTTGCATTGCCATATTCAAAAAATTAAATGCAAGCGCTTTTTACTATTTCCATTTCTCATTCAAATTGGAATTTGTTTTAAACTGAAGCGAAGCTTTTAATATACAAATAAACAATCACCCGCTTATACTAAAAGATTGCACTTTTCGAGTATATGAAATTTCAACTCCCACTAATACTATATACCTTGTTGTCTCTGTAATACCACAGTAACTCATTAATAAGTAAAGCATTTTAGCTTCCGAAAGTAAGCAAAATCTTGTTAATGAAAGCTCAAATTCAACTTCCTAGTGTAAGCTCAATATTTATAGTGAATATTAGATTATTAACTTCCCAGAGTAAGTTAGATGTTTCAAGTACAACTTCTTAACTTAGAGGCATTCAGATGAGATTTGATATTAAAGACCTAGCAACTCTTGACTTAGTTGATTTTTAGAATGCATCAAGAATAAGAATTAGTCAAGAAAAGGATCGAATCCAAGTGCATTGAACAATCATAGAAGATCGAGCCTTGAACCTAAGTCGAGGTAAAATGAACTCTAGTTAGACATATTACTAGTAGCAATACTCGGAAACATATTACTCGGGTAAACCATCGTGCCAATTCGGTCGCGAGTATCACCGCCCGGGGTGATAAAATTACACGGTCCGAGTGTACCTATACTTCTTTACCGAATTGAACAATGCCGTGATGACTTAGTAAAAATTTCATCATGTCCATCACTAACTTCAACCTTATATAACCCAAACTTTGGTATAACCCAACTTTTATACGAGTGGCCAAGACATCCCGCACGGCCAGCAGCCACACGTGCAAGAAGTGCCACGGCCCTGCGACTACGAGCCCAATGCCACACTCTCGACCCAACCTATAATTAAGCAAAGGTTCAATACCTTAAGATAATGGGTAAGCCTCACACAATGGCCCAAAACAAGTTGCAACCTGTTCGCACGTACGGTCCATGGGCAGTCCACACCCGCACTCGCAGCCCAACGCGCGGCCCGTTAGCACAGCCTAGTGCACGGCCTATCGCGCAAACCTCGCGCGGCCCAGTGCCAGCTTGGCCCAACTGAGGCCCAAGCCAAATTTCTGAGATTTTATTCTGCCAACTTGAGTTTGACCACGAGGAATAGATAGATAAGGGCCAGACTAACCTTCCTCATCCAGCTAAGGCACAAAGTTTAAGGAGAAAGGATGAGGTGAGGAGAAAAGTCCAAATTTTCCATAAATTTAGAAAAATGGTCGGGGCCATCTTGATTCTATATACTCTACTCTGAGAAATAAGTAAAGGAGGTCCCAATACTCATAAATATTCAGCAAAGCTCGAGAAAAATCCGACCAAAAGTCCAGTGAACTCTTTCGTGCTCTAGAACGCGAGAGCAAATCCACCACGAGCACCAAGTCATTCCTTTCAAGTTCTCTCGAATATTATTGAAACCAGAGGTTAAGGACAACTTATGGAGCAACCTCAAATCGGTTGTCACAAAGAGAACTCACTTGAACAACTCATTGGTCGAGCAACTACCGAGAATAGACCGAAAGTTCATCTCCTTATTCACTTTCAAACTCTGGTGAAGGTAAACACCTATCCAACCTATTGTCCAGCATAGGCATGATTATTTAAGGAGTACTAAGTGTAAAAATCGAGGCATGCACGAGTAGTAATTTGGTTTTCGATTTTCAAGTTAATTACGGCTTAAATAGAGAAGTTTAATTCCATGTGTGCCAAAGTCGAGTTAGGTACTCCATAAATCCTTATTTATCATGTTAAATAAGTTGGTACAAGTTCACCTTAATTGGAGGTTGTTTGTTCGGTCAACTGGAAATCGTGATTTATTATGTTAATTCTCATAAGTTGGTAAAAGTTCATCTTAGTATCAAAAATCATGATTTATTATGTTAATATTTCGGCCCTAAGTTCTTTCGTAGAAAGAGTTAAGTGCCCTGATGACCTTGGACCCTATGCAACTTGATTTCGACTCCTGAACCATTTTCAAATTTAGCCGAAGCCTCCCAACATTTTTATGTGTTTTTAGACTCCACACATCTTGAATATATGGGATAAATGTTAAGTCATCAGAAAGTAGCTGGACGGCTAGCGAGGAGCCGACCGTGGTCGCTACCACACATCCCGCGTGCACTAGCGCCCGGTAGTAAGGGTTCAGAGGTTAAAAACCCATGCCTGACTAGTGCCTGTGCCGTGTGTGTGCCAAGCGCGACCTATGCTATGTCAACCCCAGAGCCAGAGAGACGGGTAGCACTCGGTGGCGTCCACCTGTGTCGATACACGCATGTTGTGTACAAATTATTTTCTTTTCACCGAGTACCAAATCGAATGATTCGTTTCCCTGGTCGATCTCTCGAGGAAGGCGGTTCGGAATATAGTATTGGTGTTGATAACACATAAAAGCAAAATAAATCCTAAACATACTAATCGAGGGGTTGGATAAATTATTGACTATGAAATAACCTAAAACATAAATCTTCCAAAAACTATAAATGATACAAAAATAAAGAAGCTAGGGAATCGGAGATGCCTAATTCAAGTTCGAAACGTGAAGCCGGACGATTAATCGTACAGTTCAAAATTGATACTCTCGCTTGAACATCTAGTGGTTCGCGCCCAATAACTTTTCATAACATGAAATTGAACATAGACAAATAAGTTCGAGCATACAACACCGGCCAATAACTAATTGGGATAACTGAAGGGTTGTACTTCTGTTTTGTTGCTTAATGAAAGTGGTTGAATTGGCTGCTTAATGAATTTGTCTCATGGAATATAAATCTTTGAAAATCATATTTTTGTCCCACACGGATCAGGTACTGTTATTCTATAAGAGGGTGGGTTGAGAACCTTATCCCTTTGATTGCTTTTGGTGATGAGTTTATTTTACAAATAGATTTTTGGTAAGAATTATATTCGGTGGCTGAAGTGTGTCAAAAAGATTACAATGCAAGTTACACAGGATTTGTGGAAGGATAATTTATATGTTATGCATGTTCATTGTTTAGTAAAAGTGGTTCAAATAATGAATTATCACGTGTAGAGTTTAGTTAAAATGCAAGCATTTTGTTTTAGTAAAAGCATACTTTCCTTAAATTTAAGGTCAGAGTAGGTTTAATGTTATGTTTGTATTAAGGTTGTGTCTCAGCCATGGGTTCTCATTAATTTCATTATTAATTTATGTGCTTTATTTGTTTTTTATTATTATTATTTGTCTTAATTGCCTTAATTTTCATGTTAGCCTTATTTGCCTTATGTGTTTACTTGTCCTTGACCTTATCTGTCTTGCTTGTCTACTCTGTGTGTCCTATCTGCGTATTAATCAACCTTAATCTAATAACTTCCGGAGTGGTGAGATAATATATTGATGGGAATTATCTCGTTAAATTTTAGGTTTCTGAGGAGTCTAGCATTCGAATCTATCGTGACCATTTGCATAATTCTCATATCCAAACACCAGGTGGGTGTTGATAAACTTACGATGTATGCTAATTTCTATAAATGCTTGGCTTGATAGTTAATGTATGTATGTGAATCATTAGTCTTCGAGAGAGTATCTCCCGGTGGACGGTTCTCCTAGTTATGCCTAATGAGAGTGTATCTCCCGTAGGTGTTGGTCCGACGGTTTAGCTCCCGTTGTTGGACGGATTAGATGTGATCACATGAGCGTAGGGCGGTATAGAAGGTAGACTAGATGATTATGTTCATGCTGCGATTATGATTTTAAGTCTATATTGGTTATACTGCATGGTATTCCCACGGTGAGCTAGTTGTTTGCTCACTCCCACTATTATCCATGTTTTCAGGTTGAGCTGGTGGCCGTGGCGAAAGACGAGCGAGGCAGGGTCATTACTTGATATTGAACAACTAGTTACCTGCTTCCGCTTGTTTATTATTATTATTATTATTATTTATCTCATTGTTAGACTTGTTTTATTATCATGTGGGAACCGAACCATTGTTTTCTGGGATTTTTATCATGCTTGGGATTTATGGAACTTGAATAATATTTTGGATATTATTATTATGTTGATTTGGATTCGATTATTTCACATGATTGAATAAATGTTATTGTTTGGCATGAAATATATATATTGGGGATGATTGTACCCGGTGGTCCTTGTGTGGACTTAAACTGTATTATGTGAAATTTCGAGTAGCGCCCCTTAAATGAATCTTTAATTTGATTTTTGAAAAATTAACTCTGATTTTCAAAAAAATAAATTAGTATTTTTCACTTAAAAATAACGGGATGTTACACAAGGGTTCTAAAATTTCACCAGATTTCACAAGATTAAATAAGATCCATTAATTTTTTAAATAAATTAAATAGATCTCATTTCTACCAATTTAGATCCAACCTAAGGTTATATGGATCTAACACAATATACCAAGAACACATAAGAATTAGGGGGATCAAGCCATATTACCATACTTCAAGGAATCTACACGCTGCACGGATGGATCGGAGGAAAGGCGTGGCCTCGGTCGGCTCTCGCCCGGCCTCTGCTCGAGTGGTTCGGCGAGGTGAGGCTCCTCGTCGAGACGTTGATCGTGCGTGGATGGTTGGAGAGGGATGCTTTACGTGAGGTGAAGACGTCATTGTTGGGATCGACATTCGTGGCGGCAGGTGCTCGCGATGGCCGTCGTTCATCGAGGCTGAGAGCGATGACGTGCAGCAGGGCTCGCGGGACGAAGGGGCTGCGCGGCTGCTCAGCGAGGCAATGCGTGGCTCGACGGATTTCCGGTCACCAGGGGTGTTCGCGTGGACTGAGGACTGATCGAGGCTCGTCGGGATGGCAGAGGTCGCGGTTCGTGCGTAGAGAAAGGTGGCCTACGACACGACATGTGATGGGGGCTGCGCACGTGTGACGGTTGGGCGTCGCCGGCAGGTGGGGAGCTGTGCGCCGAGAGGAAAAAGGTGGCGAAAAGTGTGAGCTTTCGGAGGGCTTTTCTCTAAAATTTTCAAAGCTTTTGGGGAGCTTTGGTAAGAGGAGATAATTAGAATTTCGCTTAAGTATGAGGAGGGGAAACCGTGTATCATGAGAGAAATGGGAGGAGAAAATCTTCTCCACATTAATAAGTGATTCAAGGCAATTTCCATAGCAAAATAACACCAATTAGGCTTCTATTAAGGTGAGGTAAATTACTAATAAGGGGAAAACGATCTAGTCCAAAGGATCCCTAACTTAGGCAAAATTTGAATATGAAAGAAATTGTGCAAGGCTACAAAATGCCTCCCTAAGACCGAGTGTCAGCCTCACTTGGGCTCGGCTTTACCAAGGTTTTTGGGCTGGAAACTTAAGAACAATTGGGCCAAGGTAAAATCTCTAAGGTTCGGACAAAATTCCTCCAAAATTGGTTAAAACGGATCAAATATAGTCCTACGCGATTGAACCGAAAATTGCCGAACGACCTAACAAATAAATAAAATTAAGCAGATCATACACATGACACAAAAATAAAAGCAATCACATATGAATATAAGCAAAATGCAATCAAATAAAACAAAGGGCAAGAACATTAAGACGAGCACATCAATAATAATATAACGCAAGCAATAATAAAATGAAATAAAAACAAGCAATAAACATAAAGACGAGGGAATGCTGGAGTTTCTCTTTTTTCTCTCCCCACAAATTTTCTTTTCCCCAATTCAAAAACCTAGCCGAATCCAGCTCATCGGAGCCTCCCTTCCTCCAGCACACCGTTCCCACTAATCCGAATCAGCTCTTGGGCTATTGGCACGTCTCCTTGCAGGCCGTCTGCCCCTCCCGCTGCAATGTCTCGACTTTTCCTGTTGGTTGTGGGGGATGGTCGGGGTTTTTGGCTTACGGGAGATTGTGGCAAGGCTGGCTCCGGCTGCCGTGTGTCAGTGGCTAGGGTCGAGACAACCTTTTAATTCTAATCTATGTTCCTCTTCTTGTCCTGGTGCTGGGCTTGGAGAGGTCCTCCAGTGGCAGCTCCTGACACAGCTCGTGTGGGTTCGTTGCCTTCGAGGTGGGTTGGGGGTGGAGTTAATCGCGAGTCTCCTAGGACTTGACCCGGTGGTGGCCACTCAGTAGGTTGTTGATCTTGTCGGATTGCATTCAATGGCGGGTGGTCGCTGGGGTCTTAGCTCGAGTGGTGCGCGTGCGGCGTGCGTTCGGACAGAAGGGAGGGCGTAGTCTTTTTAGTTGTGTGTTTCGGTGTTTTGGTTTGTTCTGCCCGTGTTTTCCTTTTTTCTCTCTCATTGGGAGTGTGTTTGGTGTATTCTTTTGTTGGGAGCTTTTGGTTTATTCTCCTATTGGGAGCTTATGTGTGTGTTTTGCGATGTAGGTTGTAGGTTGTGTGTTCTTTCTCCCTTTGGGAGTTCGTGTGCTTGTGGGTAGGTTGACTCTAGGCTACCGGCGGGGTGTTCGTTGTAAGTGTAGTCCTCTCTACTGGAGTCAACTATTCAGCTAATTCAGCCATTGGCTGCTTATTCGGCTAAGTAGCTGATCTCTAGTCTCGACTTTGTTGTGAATATAAACTCATCCTATTGTTTCGTTAAAAAAAATAATAATAAAAAAAATAAAAAAAAATAAACACGAGGCAACCATATAAGACAAAGGAAATCACATATATAAACCGAGCACATACAAATCAATAAATGAAAACAATAATGGAATAAAAACGAGCGATAATGCAACCAAGCAAAAATATAATAATACGAAAAATCATATAAATCGAAAGTGGCGCTACATGCATTTTTTTCAAAGTCTCCATGTATCTTCAAAGATCTTCAAACATTATTTGAGAAGAGTGATAGGTAGAGATGGTCCCACTGAGTGTGTCAAATTTATAACAACAAATTTTATTGCGTGTCCCAGTGGGTGCGCGAAATTTGTAACAACAAATTTTATGAAAGACATAAAACTTTTGTACAACTTGATTTTATTTCAATCAAGTGGTATTGCGAGTACAATCTCTATATGGAACCCTCTGACTCTTCCCTTCGTGGACTTAGATTTAGATCATCGCAGCTGGATTTGACAGTTGGATCTCCTTCATGTTTGAGCTTGAATTTGTGTAACGTTAATTGGGGGGTTGAATGGCATGCGCTCAAACATAAACGATTTAGACTTGATTTGGTTGGAGACAACTTTTTGAAGGACTTGTTTCTTCGATCTTAATTTCTAGATGACGGGATTAAACTTGAATAACATTGACTCAAGAGCTTGAGAGTTTTTCCCAAATCAAACGCTATGTTGCTTGAACTTCTCGACGAACGCGCCTTCAATGTCGTTGACACTCTTGGAATTATTTGACAGGAGTGAATGTCGTCTCTTTACTTCTTGAAAACGAGCTGCTGCCTCTTTTTTTTTTACCTTCTTCTTCACTGAATGTACTTCGGCAGTTTGAATGTTGGGTTGGAGGTTAAACGCTGATCTTCAATTTGAATTCTCTTGGATCTTCAAAAACGTCTTCAAATTTTCAAGAGAGTTCTTGAGGGCTCTTGAACTTGAGATTTTGATTTATGGGGTTCGATTTTTGGCTTTCAAAGAACCCCTATTAATAATTGTAGGAGAGACAACCTTGTAGAAGAAGAAATCATTTGATTGGTTCTTTTGATATAATTTCTTTTCTTATCCTAAGATTTCACTTGGTGAATAAAATATAATTACTTTAATAATTATGTATCTTATTTATCTTGGATGTGTGTCAAAAGATAAATAAAGATATTAATTAATAAAATATTAAAACTTTGATAACTACACTTTCTATCACTAACCGGAATGATTTGAAAATATAAGTTTGTGTCGACTATGAGTCGCCAATAAATCAAACGAAAAACGTTGTGTACAAAAAAAATTCCAATAATTTATGATTTTTAAGTTTTTTGGCCGCTTGTGCAATGTTGTTATATTTATAAAAACTCTTTTAATTTTTAATATTTTAAATATTAAGTATTTTATTTAAATATATTATCTCGTGCATTGCAGGTTGCGACTAGTTCATTTAGGGATAAAAAATAAAAAATAAAAAATAAACATAAATAGATTAATAAATAAATAAATCTTCCTTAAAAATGTATTACTCCCGGTGCACTTGACACAATGGATACTTGGATCAACATATGTACCGCACACAAAGCGTGAGGTTCCAATCAAACATTGACACAAGAGTCGCCAGGCCAGCTCTGTATAATACCTAAAACCGCGAAAAAACTATCCACAAAAAAGTCAAGCGCTTGACCTCCGGTGGGACCGCCCGAGCTTCCCTGATAGCGCCTCCAAAACCTGCCACGTGGCGTCTCCTTCCGAACTCGGGACATCGAACAGCAGCGCCTTTCTAACCGACGGATCCCACAGCCTTCTCTGAATCACCGTCAGATTAGTATCCGCCACGTGTTGGAGAATTTGGCCCAGCCTGGCCACGTCATCCTCCATCACGGTTATAGATATCTCCGCCCAGGACACGGCGGCCGGGAAAGGCAGCCGGATGCCGTCGGCTATAATCACGGGGACGCAGCCTAGAGCCACCGACTCCACGAGCCTCGGGCTCCACGGGGCCCACCCCAATGGGCACAGGCAGAACTTTGACCGCGCTATCTCAGATTGGTAGCCAGAGAATCTATGCCGCCGCAAGTAGAACCTCTTGTCGCTGCCGTATCTCCGCCATATCTCCGTCCTCACCCGCCTGCCAAACAAAAAAATTCCAAATTATTCACTCTCTTTCAATTAATTAATTAATTAATTAATCAGTTAATTAAATTAACCGAAAAAAGATTAAAAAAAATAATAACGGAATTAATTAATACTTGCTGTAGAAACGGCCGCTGACATTCTTGGGGTGGAGTTCCATTTTGCCCCTGAAGAAGGCAAAAATGTCCCGGCAGCCGGTCAGCGGGGAATTTTCCAGTGTGGCGCGCACGGTTTCTGGTGGGATGTACGGTGGGATGACGACGTGCTCCACGTGCTGACATGGGTGCTCGTGATTCACCCCAAATGTCTGCAAAATCACCGAGTTTTTCAATATTTCGGGCACCCCATCCGCAATCGCCACATCTTCCTGCAAACAAAAATACCAATAGTCTTATACTATGAATTTTTGTCGGTAAAATTTAAAAAATGGTCCACTATTTTGTTCATTTTCCGAAAAAGGTTCATCATCATATAGGACGTCATCAAGAATGATCCACTAACTAGCCATTTTAATTATAATTCGTAAGAAAACCAACATAGTGTACTAAAAATGATTGTTTTTAATATACTATGTTGCCTAATGTACACGTTTTGATTAAACTGACACCACAGTGTACTAAAAATAAATTTAGCCAATTTTTGTAATTCTATTAACATTTTTGTAAAAAAAATATGACATTATGCATATTTATGAAAAGACTGCTAATGATAACACACACAAACAAACCATATGGATCCATGAATCACTTTAAAGTTGGTATCATCATGTAGAAAAGGACACATGAACGCACCAGTGTGTGAAAACAAGAGCCGAAGTCATGGGAAGCTACAAAGACGTGGTCAGCTCCACGTGTACGATTCCAGAAAGGGAAGTGAGAGGAAATGAGTTTGACGGCAGAGGATATGAGAGAGCGCGCGTGGCCGATGGCGGGAAAGCCATTGACGGTGCTGAAGTTGCACGAGACATAAACGGGGACAAAGAAGAAGTCGGCCTCCAGTGGGTTCACTGTTCTCACTTTGCTCCTAAGTAGAGCTCTGTGGATTGCAACCTCCGATGCAAACAAGTGGCTGTTGCAGCGCTTGTTTGATACTATCCAATCCTTGTTGTATTTAGGCGGGAGATCGTATACATAAACCTTCATTCCCTTAAATAACCCTACACTCAAAATTGAAATCATTTTATGGTATGGAGCTCGACAATCCAAAAATGCTTAATGCATTAGATGATAGATCAATAGCAATAGCAGTTATGCATCATTTATAATTATGAAAATAAGAAAAAATTTTACTAGAGTTCCACCTGTCCTGCTACAAATGAAATATCCACATGTGCCGTTAATTGACACTAGTCACATAGTCATATGCATATGGATTTATAGAAAATTCAAAAATAGTCTCATAATTTTTTAAGTATTTCAAAGTACTATCGTACATATATAGTTTAATTAGCCAATAGAATTCCAGTAAGTTTGAAATTTCATCATTTTTAATACAAATTGAATCCAACGTGTCATTGGACACGGACTCGTGGACATGACAGTGTGATTTCCCAGGGGATACATAAATTTTACGTAAATGATACTTGTTTCAATTAATTTTTAAAGATAGGAAGCTACTATTGATGAACTAATATTTAATTTTTTCTCAGTGGTACTTCCACAAAAATAATATGCAGGTAGGTACCTGCCAGGTTCGAAGTGTATGATTATAGATACAAATGTCTAAGAGAA